TTGAAGAACAAGCCACCTAAACTGAGAACAGCACTATTTTCTAAAAATTAAAAAAACCAATTGATTTTTTCCTTTTTGCACACTAACCTATAAAAATTTCAACGTAAGTTCTATGGGAAATTTTAAGAATCGAAAACTTTGGCCAAACTTATCCATAAAAAGTGGTGTAGCATAATTTCGTTACGTCGAGAAACAAGCAAGTCAAAAATTGCATGAAATATATACACACTTCGCCAATTTCAAATTCTGAATGCACCTAAGCGTGTCCGTCTGCTTGTCTATCCAACTGTCTCGAGTAGAGTTCTTCCATTCGCAAAAACGAAGGTATCGCCTACACATTTACAAACGGCGCACGTACGAAATGCAACAAAAACTGACAAGATCTTTGCTCCCGGGTCTTTTGCTCGTTACTCGTAAACTACAACAGATACGCTATAAAGTTTTTTTCTTACTTTTAATCTTGTTTAGGGCAACGGTGATGGGTATAAAAGATTCGGTCATAATCGGATATGATATTCTTACCGATTTCTGTTTTATATGTTAGAATAGTCTCGGAACAGTCTGCCTACCGATAAAGTGATCTTAAAGTTGTGAAGCGAAGTTATAGGCAATCAATGGGATAAGTTAGTTAGTTGTCAACAGAAATTTGAAATTGTTCAATAGATTTGTGAAAATAGCAAAATTATACTCAATTTTTCACATATAAAGATATAAATTCTCTGTTACATACACACACGTACACACACACATGCACACATGCACACCATCATTCATTCATGGAAATGTGTTAATTACACTTGTAAATGTTATTTCATTGGAATTGACCCGTTTTTTTTTTTTTACAGTCCGAGATCTATTGTGTATTTGTAAGCATTCTAACGATAAATATAGAAATGTCTTAAGAATTCAAATTGATTTTGTGATCATAAAACGGTAGCATGTTTGCACAACATGTCGCCTTAAAGAAAGGTTTCATAAATTTTCACCGTCTATTACACTATACTCGTTTACGTAAAGAGAAGAAAAATTTTTATCTTTATTTCGAAAACATTACATTAACCATAAAAAAAAAAAGAAAGAAAAAAAATACACGCACATACACACAAAGACGAGTCGGCATTTCTAATAGCACGACTTTGGCATTAATACAGCTTTTAAGGTTCCTGTTATCGATTGAGGAGTGAGACGATAAAACAGAACAGGACAAGACAGGTCTGAAAGAGAGAGAAAGAGAAAGAGAGAGAGAGAGATCAAAGTAGTTTAAACCGCCTCTAAACCGATTTTATGACACTTCTAATGATGTCTGATATAAGAACTCATTATACAAGCTATATTTGTGTCGTTTCAGTTGTTATTTCTATATTCGCCGTACACATACTTTTCCAACAGTTTGTAATTAGCTCCTCGGCTACCGGTTTATTACACTGCACGTACACTTTTCTATATTGGGAAAATAGATTATATTAGTATCGTAAATGTTTAATGTTAGACATGTTATTTATTTTTCTCTTCATATGCAAACACACACACACACACACACAAACAAACACTTATTCTATACATGTTTTCTTTTACCATTTAATTCTGAAATTTTGTCTCCAGGCCTTATAACATGTTTTGTGTCGAGTTTTGAAGTTTTCGAAATGTAAATAATTGCTTTTAATCTTAATGATACATACACGTATACATACATACGCTTAAATATGTTTAATGTTATGAATCTATTTAATTTTAAGAAATTATAAAATTTTCTTCGAATTTTCTTCTTCGCATCTCAAAGATTACGATTAAGAAATATGCTATAATGATAGGTATAAATAACATTTTATAATAATAAATAAACTACTAAGTTAAAATTTTATACAAATTTATTCGCTTTCGCATTAAAATCAACGAAAGAAATAAAAGTGATACTATATATGCAAAGTATATATATATATATATATATATATATATATATATATATGTCTTTCGTGCAAAAGTCAAGAATTATTAAATCGCATGTGCATTGCGTAATAGATTTAATGAACTTTGACGTTTTCCTAAGACGTTGCAACGTCACTACCATAACCGTAACCATTCCTTCTAAGCAAAAACTCCTGACACATCGTAGTTTTCTTAGGTCGTTAGGCGACAGAAAGAAATCACAAGCAGGCGCTGCCAGCTTTATTTTCTAGGCTCGTTTGCCAGGTCTACTTTAAACCGAAAATTTAAAGCACTAAAAATCTCTTGTTAATTAAAATCTTTAATGATTTCATTTAATACACATTTCGCACAATAAAACACGTCCTTGGTATGTGAAATGATTTTTAGACAAAAATATATTCAATTCTTATCAATTTTCCTCCACTCATATGCCCATTACAGCACAGTCCAATGGTACCGTCGAACTGTACAACTCAATCCAATTGAACCAATTTTTTAATGGAAAAATATATTTTTACTATCCGAACACACGCTAAGCACGGATGCCCAGTAGGATAATGTAGACCTTCATTTGGCTTAATGAGAGCTTCCGGGTTTTCGGATATGTTAATTGAACACGTGTAAAAGAATTGTGCTAGGGCACGATCCACCGTTAAATACCTTACACCAGCCAAGTCGATGTACCAAATTTGGTCATAATATCTGCAAAAGTCGTGACTTACAGGTTCATTACGAGAATGTCAGACGAACAAGGCAGACAAACAAGTTTAAATCGATTCTGAAAGGGATTCAGGAAGTGATTCGAGTATCGATCGGTATAATAAAAAGCGGCTTGTGCTCAAGTCCTTCTGGGTGTTGCACACATCCGCAAAAGCTTAACAAACCCTTGTACGATATGTGGCGTAGGATACAAAAAGGAAGAAACATACAATTTTATATATATTAGGTGATCCCGTAAAGCTTTTATTTTATGGATTCGAATTTAGTGCAAGTTTCGAAGAGAGCAATAAGCAGTCTTTTGCTTGGCATGAAATTATTTAAGTTTTCATAACTATCCGGAACGGAATGCGGTAAATAAATTAGCTTTGAAATGTGCCTTTATTAACGCTATCGCCTTGATCATCTTCCGCACAATATTTTTGGAACCGGGTCCGAAGATGTTCATGTTACAGATACGTGAGGTTGAACGAGTGACGTAATAAACGAAAACATCGAAGTTCGTAAGCAGTGAGGAAGATCCTTAGCCAACATTCTTATAACTCTTTGTCCATTTCGCGATGGCCTTCGGTATCTATTGGACTGCAGCATAGTCAGGTAGACAAGATGCGCGAATATCAACTCGGAGATCGAGGTTTTCAATCTTCATTGCGGTTCGACTATAGTTGGTGGCAGTTACATTGCGTAAAGTGGACTCAGTGCGTAAAAGCATAACACTTACCAATTGTGCACATGACGCACTAAGCTACGGACGTCGTTTACGATCTCTTTTGTCACTTCTTTCTAACCACACACCTTCCCTTGACTGATTGATCTCATATTAAACAAAAAAAAAAAAAGAAAAAAAAAAAAACCATCAGATAATCACGCTACTCCGATAGCAAAGTGCGTTAATGCTTCATTAGATCCTTCTAATAGTGTGCATGACATCCCATAAATGGCCAAATAACTAAATCACTAAATTATTGAACAAAAAAAAAAAAAGAAATGATTTCAAAAATTTTCAGTTTGTTTTTTAATAATTGTTTTTTAACTTATTTATTTTTCTCTTTATAAAATTTACTAAAATTTATTTTTCATTTTTAAATTATTTTGCAGCATACATGTTTTGCTTTTTTTTATTATTATTATTACTATAAACGCTTTACAATTAAAAAAAAAAAAAAAAAAAAAAAAAAAAAAAAAGAAGACTTATAACGAATTATTGTAGCAATTTTTATTTGTTCCATATGAGGCTCGTTTGCACACGCATACAATACACATATATAAATAGTTGAAAATAATAAAATAATAAAGAGAGAAAACATTGCAATTGTGTAATTAATTGAAAAAATTGCTAAAAAAAATTATTTTCAAATTTTTTTATATTTTTTTTTTTTTTTTTTTTTTTTTTTTTTTATTTTATTTTTACAAACAAACACGAAAACCAATGAAACGAATTTGCCGTAAAGATAACAGCAGCTTACAAATCTTAGGAAAGAGTGTACAAAAAAAAAAAAAAAAAAAAATACTTAAAAATTATTTTATTAAAAAAAAAAAAATTTTAAAAAAATGGTAAGAAAAATTAGGAAGAAACGAAAGGGGAAAGTTGCGTTCACCTCTGGGCGAACTTTAAATAGCTACCACTTTAAACGAATGGATAACGAATCGCGGCTTAGATCGTTTAGACCGCATTTCCATGTAAAATGATCACAACAAATATATTCAGGGGAAATTTTACTCTAACGTGTACGCTGAAACAATTCCCAAATTAGGTGAACGTGTATAGAAGGATTGAGATTTTTATGACCAATTGATGCCCGTATCGATAAGTAAAAATTTATACACACAAAGTGTCTTATTTTTGCATTTTTTATCGCAATTTTTGCAAAATTTGAAAATCATGCACTAAAAATGGACACATGGATCACGTTGTTCCTGAGCGCATTGATGATCGAAACTCTGATGAATATTTTTGCTTAATAAAATCAAAATGAAAAACATGTTCCCTTCTTTCGCTGGTGAATATAAAAATAAAATTTACAGTAAGTATTGCACAAAGGCTTTCGTTACATAATAGTGAAGGAAGAAAAAAAAAGAGAAGGAAGACATTAAAATTTCGATAAAAAATAGTGAGCCTACCAGCAGATACATGAATCTGATCTTCCTTGCCCCTAAATGTTAGTGTGAAAGAGATGATTATATGAATTTTGACCTGCTGAAGGCTTGATATATATATATATATATATGTAATGTAAAGAGATCTATATAGTACAATAGAGAGAAAGAGAAAGAGAGAAAGATAGATAGAGAGAGTAAAGGATTTTTAAATTTTAAAATACTTTTGCAGGTAAATTGATGAGTTTATTAAATAATTATTATTTAACTTTTAAACAACCTAATCATTTAAATAAAATGTTTATCTATATAACTATGCAACAAACAACCTAGAGGAGCCAAGGGTTTTTTGCTTAAGTCAGCCTGCCTCTCTAATACTAAGAAAACTGAGGATATGAGGTCTTAAACTGAGATAGCATTTGTGGAGATTTCGTTATATTGCTGTTGACTTTTCAGATTATTATTGTTACTATTACTATTACTATTATTATTATTATTATTATTATTATGATTATTATTCTTATGATTATTATTGGCTTTGTTGTTGTTTTTCATTAACATTGATCGATATACCTCGGAAAGTAAATTCCACATGGGAGTAGCACTAGGCGTAACAGAATTCTTATTATTTTCATTTTGACAAGCTGCCGCCGCCGCTGCAGCAGCAAACATTTGTGATTGCAACAATCTGAAATGATGCTGTTCGGGGCTGAGAGGTGAGTGATGTCCTGTTATAAAATCCAATTGGGATTTTTTAATATGTTGTTGCGTCATCGACAAGTCAAGACAATTGTGTCTCATCGTTGAATTTTCATATTCATCGATATCGTTTTCCATTTTTATTGTAACCGGCGAAATTGTGCCGCAAGACATTTCCTTCTCACACGAATCGATTTTTCTTTTACCCAAAAGACTGTCCATTGAAAAGCTGTGAACTGGCTTTAGAGGTAATTTCTCGTTTAAAGGCGCTGCGGTAAGCTCAGCGGAACGCTTATTTAAACTAAAGTCTAAAGGTTCATTAGAATCGTCACTTTGTGGTTGTTGGACTAGGGTTTTTGTATCTTCTAATTCGTCCCGTTCTTCTTCTTCATCATCATCATCTTCTTCTTCTTCTCGTTCCCCCTCTTCAACCGAAACCGAAATATGCTCATCGGTTTGTTCTTCCTCAATTATGTCACGACAATAATCATCCATATCGCTATGGCTCCCCGATTGACTAGTATTTGAACCTTGAACATCTAATATATAGCTTTCGTCATCGTCGTTATCGGAAGCATTTGAAGTGCCACTCGAATGCGTAGTCATTGTCGATTGTCTATTGGGGACAATCAAACGCTCTGGATTACTGCTAAGCATATGCTGAAAACTTGGCGTAGTTGTAGCGAATTCACTAAACATGGCAGCAGGATGAGGTGCAGGCACAAATCCAGCGGCATTAGACGGTATAAGGCCAGGGAAGGCAGGCATTGTGGTAGCTCCGGTCATTAAGGCAGCAGGCGGCAAGGGAAACACGGGAAATTGTTGAGCCGTTCGACCATCATGTGGCGATATTTTGCGCCTTATATGCGGTGAATGCAATTTGGGATTCGGATTTGCGCTATGACGATTCCGCGAACGCCGTGACGAGAAGACCATATTACAACCCTCAACCGTGCATTTGTGCATCTCACGCAAGTGCACCGCCGAAAAATGTATTTTTAGAGCTCCTTTATCGCAAAACGTTTTCAAACATATCGAGCACTGAACACGTTTCTTGCCGGTGGCAGGATTTATAAATTGACCGCCCATATTAATAGGTGGAGAACCCCAACGTTTCGGTTTACTAAGTGCTGTCGAACAGTGGGACACATTTGGTGATGTAGCTGGTGAGGTAGAGGCCGATGTCGACGATAAAGCCGCTGTCGCCGTTGGATGACCCAATAAATAAGCAGGCGGCATAAAAGCAGTCATTAAATGTTCCATATTAAAAATGGAAGCCGTTTCGCTTAATAAGACGTTAATAAAAATCTGTAATCGACAAAAGAGAGAAGAGAACAGTACGAAAAAAAATCAATAAAAATATTTAAAGGTGACAAAAACTGAACATAAATCTTAGTTATATATATATATATATATATATATATATATACATGAATACATATAATTGAAATTTTCCCCTTTATTATTTGGTTGAAAAACCATCATAAAAAAGGATTATCTTGAGCAGTTTTTAAAAAAGATTTTATTACTGGTCTTGTTGCGTTGTTTTCGACTTTTTTCCAAAGCGTTTGTAAACAATTTCCATTCAATTCATAGTAAATTGTATTTTATGTGAAATTTTTTTCCGTTTTTTTTTTTCTTTTTTTGTTTTTTTTTTGTTTTTTAGAAAATCATAACTCAAAGCTTAAGAGAAAGGCTTTGATAGTTTTACAACCCGTACTATATTTTATGATCATTAGCGATTGAAATGAACGAAATAATATAATTTGAAAACGTTTGATTTAGCGTGAAATTCTCCCTATCTCGTTTCCCCTCATTGTCTGGTGCATGGTAACCTAAGACTCTATACCATCACCCTCTGAGCCTAATAACTCGGCGATTATGCACAAAACTACGTTGACCGAGACAGCTAGCATACGCTAATAGCCGGCCGCAAATGGTACACACAAACATAAAGACATAAAATTGGATTTAAAGTCTCTGTTTCTTTTATTAGTTGATTTGTCCTTCGGCGCAAGAAATAATAGGCCGATGATATATCGTACAACTTACAACACTGTTTATTAGCGTAATAAAGAGGAAAAAAGAATTTCAAAACAACTTTTGAATTTTTTTGTTTTTTAATAAAAAAAAATATTTATTTTTGTTTTTTTTTTTTTTTTTTTTTTCTCTTTGCCTAAATCTGTTTATAAGCAAGCTGATAATGAAATATATTTAAATATTTTTCGATTTTTTCTTTTTAATATCCATCAGCCAAACGAAACGAAATAAAGTGTTAGTAACGCGTGCTACAAGCATCTATGTATGGATTCGCTATGAAAAAAATATATCCGAACGATAAAGGGATGGCAGTCAAGCGGGTCTATTCCACTAGACAGAAAATACCGGAATACTCTAGGCCGACAAGCGAAAGATACCCTTATAGGAGCGGAATTCATACCAAGCAACACTTGCAAAAAAATGGATAATTGAAGCCGAAAGGCTATATAATAGATTTTGTATTACTTGGATTGGATTCGAATTTGCCTTTGACTTCCTAACCCTCTTCTTTTTATTATTCGTTTATTATATTGTATGCGACTTAACCTTATTTCACAGTACACATGAATTGCAATAATTTTGTGTTTACTTTTTATATTAAAACAAATGTTTCGGGTAAAATGGATGAATTTTTCAACCGATTAAAATGTCAAGTTTTTATTGTTGCTTTACTCTTCGAGAAAACATTTTTACAGGTAAGAAAGCTGTTGTTCTTGCAATGATTCTTGGTTACGCGTAACCTTACCCGTAAAGTATTTTCCCTAATTCGTTGTTTTTTAAGCTCTTGTAGGCTAGCTTGTAACCTCTCTAAAGATTTTAGTCTACGGCCATCAATTACTACTGTATATATACTCATATAGGTGGCAAACTTTAATACTCTACTATAACTTTTGCGATCGTAAAGATTCCAACAATAAAGGGCAAGTGTAAAAGTCTCTGAGGAAATTCGAAAGATGAAAGCTCTTGAAATATGATATACGAGCTTGGCAAGGCGTTACACCGCTACTTTCATCGTGAAGTTAAGCTTTTCAGCTTGCGAGTAGTTTGGCAAAAACACGAAACGCAGGAAGATTTACTTTCGTCGCTTAAGTCGAGTGTTCTTATATACTTCTTGTATTGTGGTATTCAAGATACCGGTCGGAATTTCGGAGACTTCTCAATGAAATTCCGTGTACCGACATATTTTAGCCCAAGGATCAATGCAATTGAAAATGAGTCGGACCGCAGCTATTTTTCGACCGCTTCGCATACATAATGCATTATTGTGAAAAGCCGGTGTATGTATAACTGTATTAAACAAAGTTGTGCAGGGCATTTAACAGTAGACACTAGTCCATTATAATGTTTTCACTTGTTTTCCGCTTGTTTTTTTTTTTATTGAAAGTGCTAACCGGAGGCGCGAATGGTAATAAGGTGCCTTCTGACTATGGCTGTGTTGGAGAAAAAGAAAAGACTATCATGCCCTAAGTACCTTGAAGAATACCGTCTTCAATGCGATATATATTCTTGATTGTCCCTCTGTTCCCTAGCAACCGATATCATCGCGATAGCAAATATCGGAAAGAAGAGCTGAAATTTTACATATAATATATATATATATATATATATATATATACGCTCAATTGATGGTAATAGGTCAAGTTTGCAAAGCACTCTGGAAAGCAATTTTGAGAGCTAGCTAAAGAACTCAAGAGAAGCATGCTACGTGATGTCACGTCATATCGTAACTCATGAAAAAGGTTTGTCATCTTTAAGGTGAAAGGCGTATAAAATACCCTCAAAGGTATTTCTTTTTTTTTTACTTTTTCATGTATGCAATATATACATATAAATATATATATTTATAAATATATATATATATAGATGCTACGGTCAAAAAGTGCGATCCAAGTCAAAATTAACCTATTTTTCTTTATGTCTGCGTCTCTTTGCACTATACACTTTTGGCTTTGTTTTGATTTTCTAAAGGAAATGATGTAATCTAATGTTCGAAGTAATGCTTTTATTTTTTTCTACTTGTCAAAGTAATCAGTTTTATTTTAATTATTAACATATGACAACGCAAAACAGCTTGCTTGTGTTGTGCTGTGTTGTTTTTTTTTTTTTATGGTAGACGTAGATTTTGTTCGTGCGTATGCCTGTGTTTACGCTTTAGCCAAGAGCACAAGCTCTTAGATCTACAACTGATACTTAAAACTGTCAATCAAGATTAACTAAATGAGGTTTGGATTTTTCTTCTTTTCTTTTCTTTTTTTTTTTTTTTTTTTTTGGCCATTTTTTAAATAATTTTTTAGAAATATACATAAAGTTGCGAGAAAAAAACGAGGAAAAAAAAAAACAAAAAACCTTTAATTGTTAATTAATTAGACGCAAATTTTAAAACGATTTTTTAAGCTGAATTTAACTAAAATATAAAATGTATTTAAAATAATTTAATTGAAATTCAAGTAAACACTGAAGGCTTTTCAAAAGATCTTTATTTAATTTTTAGTTTCTCTTCGCACACCCATCCGGTTTTCAAATGGCGACTTAAGTGCGCTAACGTTTAGACTATTAAAGCTATATTGGGTGAAAAATGGCTTAAGACTTTTTAAATTGACATACATGTGTAACGCAGCAATGCATACAGAGGAAGATGTACATACATGTGAATAAATCTTGAATTGTCTCTCAATAAATTATTGGTGCATCCAACCAGCCGAGTATACAGAATAAATATATCCTATCGATAAAAAAACATGGCGATGACTGAGAAGGTTTAAAGAAACTTGAGAATAGGGCTATATTCTACAATATTGAGAATAGGTTCTGTTATCGGACGGACACTTATCAAGAATGAATTTCATATGAGAATTGATACCATATAGAAATCATATGGATTCGTCAATAGTGGCGATATCTATATCTTATGCTACGAACTTATTATACGGCTGAGTTTATGATATTTTATTCAGTCTCTTGATTATCTACCTAAGTAAATTCCTGACCATAAAAGACTACTACGGTTAACATATCCATCCGTTTCTTCATCTTGGACAAAGATGATATTTGTAGATAACAGATTCAATGCGTGTTGCATTGATCGGTAAACGCCATCGATTCTTAATCTTGTTAACGCCTAGAATTTTTCTAAACTAATACGTTCATCTTGCATTAAGCAAGTGGGTACAAATAATTATCACAACCGTACAAATATTGTCGCGTCATAAAATCACAGGAACGACTTTTATATATCATAGATGTTGATTAACTATCTACGATGCCCTGAGGCGATTATGGTGTAGTTGTTTTTTTTTTTTTTTTGCTATAAAAAAAAGTTTCAACATTTTTATGAAAATTTAACTGGAATTGTAAGTTTGCCCAAAAGAAGCGACGAAACGCGGAAGTCATATACTCATTAATTTCTTTTTTAGATGAATTAACTAAACATTAGATCATTGAGAAATTGTAAAATTTTTCTATACTCTTACGTTATATTAGTTATAATAATAATATATCAAAAGAAGAAAAAAGTAAACAAAACATGATTAAACTTTTTTTTCTTTTTGTTTGTTTGTTTGTTTTTTTTTTTTCTTATTTCAGGCCACAAACGTTATCATAATGAAAACATAAAAAGAAACAAAACTTCAAAAATTATATTGAGTGGTGATTCAAGGTTAGTTAAAAGTTTTAAGTTAACTTACTTTTTTATGATATATTAACGGCTTTTATGAGGGAATAACGTAGTGTGTTTGGCTCTCTTAGCTAAAATTGTGAAAGGATAAGCATTTTGTAAGCTCAAAGTGGTCGCATTAGTTGCAGTAACCTATCGCACCTTACACAAGGACTCGAGTAAGTTCTTTGTCAATATTCTTGTAGACTGACTGCAGATTGATTATTTTTTTGATGTTTTATCATAAAAGAACTGTCACGTTGCCGTCCGAACTAATCTCATTTCCTCGGGATGATTCAGTAATTGTTCATTTATTGAATTGGTTGGCTGACTACCTTTCGTTGTTAGGCAAAGCGAAAGCTCAATGATTTACTTGGGGTTCAAATATCGCTTTCCGACTTTGATTCTACTTTGTTTCAATCTATACCTGTGTGTGGCTCTGTTCTTTTGTTCTTTTCCATTGAAGTCATCACATTCAGGTTATCGCTCTATACGACTTCTCTTGCGCGAAAAAAATGTATTTTAAATGAATTTTGTTAAAACCAAAAATTTTATTAAAAGTTTTCAACGACACACAAAGCGATCTTTCCATATATGACAATATCACTAAACATAGATACACAGATATAGGTGACAATTATTGAATCCACTACAGAAAAAAGCAACAAGATTTCGTAAATTTGTTATTGAAAATGCGAAAAAGATTATAAAACTATGCAATAACGTGGAACTAATGCAAAAACAAATTTGTCTAGATTCGCTACCTCTAGGTGTCTACTATCATATTCCGCTGCTGAGCACTGCCGCTGATATGAATGTAAAGTAACTGTTTGTTACTTAAAATGCAAAAATATTGAAATACTTGAAGTTATTCATAAATCACATACGAAAACTAATCTCTTAAATTCTGCGCTTCCAATGTGTCAGTACATGCTGAACATTGCTGCAGGAAGATATGCTCCCAAGAAAATTATGCAAAGTCCATTTAGATGGTTATCATTGGTTATCAATTTACTTAGCGTTACACTACTCCCTACAGTCAATGTAAAGCAGAAATTGATTGCTTTCAGAGAAAAATAAGTTGCTCATGAACCATAAAGAGCTAAATCGATCACCTGAGCATTCCTCAACATAACTACGGCTGTATAGTCGCATATCGGATATCTCCTACTGTCGAAGAGACTAAAATCTAGTCTAGTTTTTATATTGGAGATTTAAAAAAAAAAAACAAAGCGCAAAAAAAACGAAGAAAAATATTCAAAATACATGAAAAAAAATTCTCCATAAGTTCAAGATTAACGTGACAGCGGCAAACACTTGCTGCTGCTAAGTAGTATCGAAATAAGAATAGATTTTGGGTTCACTTGCTACAAACACTAAATTTAGACTCTATGAGGTATGGACTGTCATCCTTCCAGTGTTAGTAACATCATTACAGCTCTAGTTTGTAAAAGTCTTTTATTCTATATACATATATATGTTTAAATGAGTAATTCTTACACTAAATAAAGAGAATATCTAACCGATAAATAAATTATTGAAAAAGTTTACCGAAAATCGAAATATTCTTAGGCGGACTTATGAAACCCTTGAGTGTGTCGAACGCTGTCACTCTTGCGTTTAGAAAATTTACAAAAATGTTTAGGAGGATGTGCTTTTCATAGTGCTAAAGCCTCGTGTAAAATAAATGACACACTAAGCCATAGTGTGTGCAAACAATAATTGCTTTCATACACACAAATTTTAGCGCACAATTTATGAAAAACCGAAAACCTTGTCTTAATCATTCCTTATAATCCCCATCCGCCTCAATCTTTTGAAATTTATTTCAGAGAATATTTACAAATTTTATTAAAGCCGCCGGTAGGTAGTGAGCAAAAATATTTTTCAACCGACGGTGTTTTTTTGTTTTGTTTTATTTATTATTGAATTGTAATTTACTTACACTGATAAGAATTGAAGAAAATTGTTATAAAAATAATTTTTTTCCTTAAATGACGATTCAAAACACGATTATTTGGAAGGTTTCTTTCAAAAACAAAAGAATTTCTTTTTTAATATAGAAAATTCATTTTACATTTTTTTTTTTTTTTTTTTTTAACACATCTTCTATACTGTTAAGTAATTTTATAATAAAACCAAAGAATCCAATTTGTATATTAAAAATATTTAAATTCTACGCTTTTACTTTATTACACGACTGTAACTTTTTTTTTTTTTTTCTTGTTATTTATGTATTTCTTTTTTCACTTTTCACACTTCTGCGCGTATGTCTATATCTGACTATGTCGTGGGTGACACTGACAGTGCCACACAATTCAATGAATTTGTGGTAGAGAATGATGTTCGCTTATAGAGTTGTTGTGATGGTGGCGATGGTGCATTACCACTACCACTACTACTACTACTACTGCTGCTACTACTACTACTACGATTGCTCTAATGATTGTATTGTTTTTGTTGTTTTTTTCCTTTATTTGGCGACACTTGATTCTATGTATTATAACTATATTTAAATGTTCATACAATGATATAAGAAAAAAAAAACATCTCTTTGTCTCTTATGTGTATTTTCTAAACAAAAAAAAACAAAAAAAAAAAAAAAAAAAAGAAACACGTAAAAATTTCATTCTCTTTATTTTGTTAGCTGAGCTCTCCGCATTCATATACATTTATAAGATACGCACAAGACGACAAGTTCAACTCAACTGCCCACAAATGTCTCCAGCGAGTGACAAGCAACTTCGGGCTCTAAAGCCATTGTCTATATTAATACTAATAATAACAACAACTGCACCATCAGTATCAACAACACCAGAATATTATAAAACAGTATTCACGTATATGCCTTATATATAATGCCGGGAATAAGAGTGTATTTGTGGGTTTATTATTTTTGTTGTTGTTATTGGTGTTGTTGTTGTTGCTTTTTCTTATTGTATATGAATATTTTTGTCTCTTGCCTTTCGCACTAAGCATTTTAAGGCATAAAGAAAAAAAAAAAAACAAATAGAAAAGACACCACTACGCTCAATTTTAGTTATATACACTACACGTATGGGATGGCTATACTCTCTCTCATTCATTCTGTTCGTTGCTATACGTTATTCGAGTGCCGTAGCCGTAGTAACAATATCTGTAAAGGTATGAGTGCAATATTGGCGAGTGACATTTCTCTTTGTCACATAGCCTCCTATCTGCTTATATACAAAACCTTTTATGTCATAAAAAATAATAGCCAACTATTTCTATATAAGTGCACAGGGGAGAGTATACGTTTAATGGATTGCCGCATGCATACTTTTAAGAGTTATTTTCATTTCTTTCTCTTTCGCATTTTACTCTTTGAATTACTCCAGTATATGTTATTAATGAATTTGTGAGCAAATCGTTTTAGAAGGTTGAGTTTAAAGAGCCTCTATATACGCGTTTACGTTTAAAAGTCGATAAAGCGGTTATTGTGTTGGTTGTGCGGTTATTTTGTGTGTGAATCTTAAATTTTCAAAAATACACTTTAAAGACATTTAACTATATTTTAAAAATAATTTAAGAAAACTTCTTACAAACACAAATTCAATTTATGTACTCACAGGCAACTGCTAAAAGTCTAAATAGTCCTATTTATCATTTGCGCTAATTAATTTGACAGATATATGTGAAACAATTATATATTATTAATTTATTATATTTTATCCTTTTTTTTGTTTTTTTTTTTTTGCTCAACAAAATATATGTTAATACGACTTTGTTCTGAACAGTTACACTGTATACATTACTAACATTATATACATTACTGACTAAGCAATTGCTCCATATCGCTCCCAGTAAGAGAGGTCAAGTAATCCGATTTAAGAAAATTGAAAACGTTTTATATCAAATTCATGTTCTATGCAAAGTTTTGAAGAAACACGCGCTTAACATGAGCTATTCAAGTTCTACTTCCATCTCTTAATGACTATTGACAAACTTCGAATACGTCTGTAGTCGCAGCAAGAATTGGTTAAGTTATCTTCAGCCCGGAGAACAGGTTGATTTTGCTCTTTTGCGAATACCTAAATAAAAAATAGAAATAGAGAAGATAGTAAGTAAGTCTCGATTTGCAATGAACACTAGCAATTTGGATTTATGAAGCGACCCGAATAATGACGCGCTTTGACTCGATTTCGTAGCTTATGCTAATCAAAAGTGCATGCAATCTGTAGCAGATACGGGCAAGTTTGGCAAGGTGGCTGTGATCAGCCCAACCAATACCGGAGGCATTATTTACATAGTTGTGAGATAGGCTACGACTTATTCAAACGGGAAAGTTTGGTTCATCGTCGTTCTCTCACTTTTGGCTCTGCATGTGCAATAGAAGCCCCTAAGCGATGTGAATTTGTTGTACCTACTGAGGGATACAGGCGATCGCTTAAATTTAGTTCATAGGCCGCCCGTCTGTCTGTCTGTCTAATTGACTGTGTTGTGTTGTTGTAAGTTGTTTCGTTTATTTGCACATCGTTACCACCATTTATATGTCTACCTGTCTTTACCGTACCGCCACCTATCAGTAGGCGTGCTATTTTCTTGTCTGCGGTTTTAAAACAATTACTACGATGCCCAAACTTTGTCTAGGCTATTGGACTTCCTTTTAGCTACTCTCCCTCTGCCTTTGTCAGGGCGAGAGGATAGCATCTGTGTTAGTTCAGATTCATTTACAATCGACAAAAATTTTAAATTTCCAAGTGTGCTTAGTGCATTTACTTATTTTATATAATAACTTCCCCAAATACCACAAGAAGTCTGACGGTGTTTGACCTATCGATTCTTTCAAAAAATCTCCTCGGGGAAGTGTATGCTACTTTACGTTCAAGTCCAGACAGAAAGAAAGCACGTAACTAACATAAGTGCCTGGATCTCGTATAGGCTTGGACCGCTCCTTTACAGGTCGTTGTAAAGTGCCCTATAGGGATAGCTGGTATTAATTTCAGATCTGTCTTTAAAAAGGATATAAGTACTCGTGCTTCTGTCGGATAATAATATATATTTCAGTTTATGACTTTGTCTATACTTCTACACTCTTGCTTTTAGCGCTTCTGCTGCCACTTTTTTGAGTGAAATATATCAATGCAGTTGCTTTGACAGAAAGTCGGTTCAGCTATTTTTGGGCATTAATATTTCTTGGCAGAAAACACAGCTTTAATCGGTTACTTTTTTAGAACCAATTAAACAATCGGGTCTTCCAAGTAACTAAAGTGTCGAGTAACTCAACATTAAATGTCTGGCGTTCAAAAATGTCAAAAGTATAGGCCTAATAACCTAAAGTTTTAATGTGTAAAAGGTGAGTAAGCGGCGCGGAATATGTGTTCAAAGTCTCGAGATGGTATCAACTCCTTAAGCTATTGTAGGCTTATATGCGTGTAGATTAGTTACATTTTGACACTTCATGTACGGATTTATGGAATCAAGCAAATGAAGCTTCTTACCAACGACGGAAAAAAAAAAGGAAAAAAAGACAATTTCACAAAGTTTTGCGGATAGAATGTTGAGACAAGCTAATGCGGTAACAAAACTATTTTTACCTTTACTGTTAGTTTGCGTCGACACTAGAGCTGCATTTTAATTGAGTGTAAGGTGTTGCTTCTGTTCTTCGGACCCCATAAGAGTATTTATCTTAATTGCTTACATTATTAGTAATTTATTCACTAAGCGTAGCTATTAAATAAACGTTTGTGTATAAATTTTTGTGCATGCAAATATATAATCACGCACGCACATATTCATGCTAACAATATATATAACGATAACATACGATACATACATATTCATATGAATAGGTTGGTCTTATGTGCAATTTTATTATCTCTCAATCCTTATGGATATGTAGACCTACATACATATATATATATATATATATATATATATATATATATATATAGTTGCATAAAAGTTTTATATAAAACCAGATTTCTTTTGTCAACTCATCCAAAAATATGAGAAAAAAACATGCCAAATTAAAAAAAAAAAAAATTGTGCTAAACTGCTATTGGTGCACAACATTAATATACTCTGCTACGAACAACGTCCAGTACATGAATATATATATATATATAGATATATATATAGATATATATGTATGCATATGTATGCAGAGTGAAAAATTTCCAACAAAATGTCACAAAGAAAACTACCAACAAAATAAAAAGGCAGACAACGTCGATAAGAGTGAGCGAGCGAATATCAAATAAGACCAGCAGATAGGAGAGAGTGAAACATCAAATAACGGAGACATAACAAATGACATTTTTTTTTTTTTTCTTTTAACAACGAAGGAAAGAAAACGATAGAAGAGCACATATACATAAACAACTAACGTTTTACTTATCAATGTATGGGTAAATGAAGAAAAACCATAAGCATATAGAGTAGTGCAGTGCGCAACATATAGTCACACAGTGGGAGAAATGTCAGAACCACAAAAACGATAGCTAAGCAACAGTGCTAATACAGTATAAAGCTATACACGGTAGCAATACTCTACCAGCAAGCAGCAGCTGCGTTGTATGCCCTAGCACACGATGAAATGCATATGTAGTATAAATATTTGTGTGCGCTTGTATGTATATATAACGACAAAGACGACAATTTGAAAATTGCCATTTCATTCGTGTACATATCGAAAAGCATAGGGCTGGGCTGTTGTGTGTGCGTGCAAGAGTGTGTGTGTGTATGTGTATGTATGTATATACGTAGTGTAAACGCAAAGAAAAATCAATGCTTTAACTCTGTCACACGCAAAGACATAAATAGCTACAAATTCATGCGACACTCTCTCATTACTAATGCAGGAGCCCACCAAATCCAAAGAGAACAACATTAAAGAGTATCATTTGTCTTAGAAGAGAGATATAGTAGTTGAGAGATATAGACAGAAGAGAGAAAGAGAGAGAGCATGCACACTGTAAAAGATTTTACATAAATTTTTGTTCTGCACTCAACTCATAAGTGATACCTGTGCGCATATTCTCTACCTTTGATTACATTCTAATAGCCAGCATCATGTAGCACATGTATGTACGAATGTAATATACATTAAAACAGAGATTTTCTTT